GGACCAGGCCCAAATTACAAAGTATCATCCTCAATACATTTTTCACCAAAAGATTCCACATGTTCTCATTTTTATGGTCTCTATTTCTTCATTTTCTTCTTCAAATTACTATCAGCTCACCCAAAATAGGTAAAGGGGTCAAAAACTTCTCAGGCTGCGTTAACCAACGTTACAACTTACAACGTTCTATTTTTTACGGATTCAAAACAAAACGACGAACCCATAACTTAACCTATTGACATGAAACACATATTCTAAGAATGGATTGCCCTTTTGATATGATAGGCTACCTTTTCCCTATCCCTTATGATTTTGGGGCTCTTAAGCCCAAGAACGACCAGTCTTGTGGTGGTACGGAAGACAGAGACACAAAGTTATGATATATATCGAAGTATGTCTCTCTACCTTTTACATGGACTAATCCACTAATCTTTAATGAATTATGTTTGAAACCCATGAAACTTAACATAGGGTCGAGTTCTTTAACTCAAATAGAATGATTCAAATTCAAGTATGATATATTATCATTCATAAAAGTTCATTAACAAAAACTTCTCTGCAAACTTATTTATTATCACGCGGTGACCGACAAGGTTATGACAAGGAGACAAAAGGACAAAAGTCATGATGAGCCTCTATTACAAAGGCTGGCCACTGAGCCACCTTTGGAACATGATAGAACTCTCGTTTGGTAGATATTCTGCCGTGTGTCCACCTCCCTATAATCAAAACGCCCCCAAAAAAATTAAAATTACAATAGATTTTTCAAATGGAAATGCAATAAAAATAAAAATGTTAAGATGAAACAATTAAGAAGACTTGCTTTGACTGTAGCAAATGTCATCTTATTGGAAAAAGTTCTCGTGTATCTGTCAAGAAAAAGGCAAGAATGATTCTTACGTGAGTTTGAGAGGTTTTTGATACGTCTAGAAAATGAACAAGAGAGATCTAAAACAAAAATTGTATATATATTACCCAGCGATTTGATCTTTTATCATCCAAGGCCTCCAGTCATCAGTGATGGAGTAATTTAGAGATTTTATCCAGGCCTGAGTTGCTTGGAAAGGCATTGTTATGTCATGATCACCACTGCTCACCATATATAAACCGCACAAATAAAACCTCTATAAATTAATAAAATTTAGTAAAATACATTGGTCCCAATTTTATTAATTTATAGAGGTTTTACGGTAATTTGATAGAAACTAAAACACAAAAAACCATTTATAATTTGAATTTGTTTCGGTTCGGTTTGATTCAACTTCGGGTTGGTTTTTCAGTTTTGATTTGGTTTGATTGTACTTAGAAAAGTCATCTAAAATATACATATGGTTTTTAGTAAAAAAAAATTATTTACGTAATATGAATGTGCCTATAACTTAGAAAAATATTAAATTTTAATAAAATTTGGTTCAAAGAGCTATCATGGAATCAAACATCCTTAAATTGGCAAGATCCTCGGACTCTAGAATATGATTCAGAGATCCAAAAGATTATACACTATCAAAAGCTAGCTCATCAATTGCCAGATTCCTTTGCTGACCCAAACAAAGTAACCAAATCGTACATACCAGCTTGCAATGCACCTGTACGAATAACTGTCCCAACGGGACAAGTTCAAGTTGCTACAGAGTCTGCATCACGAAATAAACGTGGCAGACCTCTAGGTTCCAAAGACAAGAATCCACGGAAATCAAAGAAAGGTGCAATAGTTGAAACCGGGATTCCCAATATAACAGACATAGCCGCGGCTGAGACTCACTCTAATGAACCACCGAAAGAGGTTCGGGACGCCGAATCTTTTGGTTCTGAAGAGATCGATAACGATGAGATCTCTATCAATTACAACATGTCTGGAACCCAATGGAACAGAAAAGAAGTCGACTTGAATGCACTCTTTGCATACAAAGTAGCACTTGATATTGCGAACACGCAAGAGGATCTAGAACCCACGTCTATCACACAGTGCACTCATAGAACAGACTGGCTAAAATGGAAAGAAGCCATAAACGTGGAGTTAAAGAGTCTCAAACTCAGGAATGTTTTTGGTCCGATCATCCAGACACCATTCAATGTCAAACCAGTGGGCCATAAATGGGTCTTTGTGCTTAAGAGAAACGAACTCGGTGAAGTCGTTCGTTATAAAGCACGGCTTGTAGCACAAGGATTCTCACAGAGACCCGGAATCGATTATGAGGAGACTTATTCTCCGGTGGTGGATGCAACTACTTTTTGATTCCTCATAAGTCTGGCCATAAGAGAAAATATAGATTTGCGGTTAATGGATGTTGTCACCGCATATCTCTATGAGCCCCTGGACAATGAAATATACATGAGATTACCAGATGGCATAGAGCTTAAAGATAAGCATGCATCTCGAGATCAGTACTGCATCAGGCTGAACAAATCCTTGTATGGACTGAAACAAAGTGGACGTATGTGGTATAACCGGTTAAGTGAATATCTCATCAGAGAAGGCTACAAAAACGATCCCATCAGTCCATGCATTTTCATCAAGAACTACTCAAACAAAGGATTTGTAATCATAGCAGTTTACATGGATGATCTAAACATCCTCGGAACATCTGGTGAAATCTCCCAAACAGTCGACTGCTTGAAAGCAGAATTCGAAATGAAAGACCTAGGTAAAACTAAATTCTGTTTGGGTTTACAACTTGAGTACGTCAAAGGAGGAATCCTTGTGCATCAATCGGCTTATACTGAAAAAGTACTCAAGCGATTCAACATGGACCAGGCCCACCCATTGACCAGCCCAATGGTTGTTCGGAGCTTAGAATTGGACATTGATCCACTTGGTCCCAAGAAGGACGATGAAGAAATTCTCGGTCCAGAAAAGCCATACCTCAGTGCTGTAGGAGCGTTAATGTACCTGGCTAGTCACACTAGACCAGACATTTGCTTTGCCGTGAACCTCCTAGCTCGCTTCAGCTCATGTCCAACTCAGAGGCACTGGAACGGTATCAAACACCTCCTAAGATACCTTCAAGGTACTAAAGACTTAGGACTGTTTTACACTAACCACAACAAGGATGGACTAGTTGGTTTTGCTGATGCAGGATATCTTCAAGATCCGCACACTGCCAAGTCTCAAACTGGTTATGTGTTCACGCATGGAGGAACAACTATCTCTTGGAGATCGATGAAGCAGACAACCACTACCACTTCATCAAACCATGCAGAACTTTTGGCCATTCACGAAGCCAGCAGAGAATGTGTTTGGCTACGATCCATGACTCAGCTAGCACATCTGGTCAGATTGTGGTATGGACGAAGACAAGGAGCCTACGGTGTTGTATGAAGACAATGCAGCATGTATCGCTCAACTCAAGGAAGGTTATATCAAAGGAGATCGGACGAAGCACATCCTACCGAAATTCTTCTCAACCTCGGATTGGCAGAAGGATGGTACGATCAGCGTTCAACAGGTCCGATCAAGCGAGAACTCCGCCGACCTTTTCACCAAATGATTGCCCGCTTCAACACTCCGGAAGCTCATCCAATAAATAGGAATGCGTAGACATAGAGATCTACAGTGATGCTCTAATCAGGGGGAGTAATGCGTGTTGTACTCTTTTTCCTTCACCATGGTTTTTCCCACTGGGTTTTCTTGGTAAGGTTTTAATGAGGCAACATTCCCCTACGCATTATCGAGATCCCGATTGACCATCAGGACCGGTTACTCTGTCCAAGGGGGAGTGTTATAATACATCATATTGGACTTATAACTGGGCCCAATAAGCCAATCAGGGTTATTCATTATGTGTTGTATCCCGATGTACTTCTATATATTCCCTTGAGGATCAATAAAATAATTAGTTCTACAACAGTTTTTAGTTTTTCTAAACGGTTTTTTGACTGAAAGATGGAGACTTGATCTTAAGAGATTAATTAGGCTGCATATGTCTCTCTCTATTCTGTGTTTGAAGAACAAACAAAAATTTTTTTAAAAAAAAATAATAGGCTGCATATCTTCTTTTGTTTCAAATTTTCTTTTCAGTCTTAAATAAAACATTTTCTGTTATCATATAATAAAAATGAAAATATTTGTACATGAATAGTTATCAAATTTAGTTGAGAAAGTGGATAAAATTTTACAACTATTCATGAATTATACTTTAAAAAACCGATACGAGCTCGTATCCAAATTTATTTTTACTTTTAAATGAATATGAAATCCTTTCGGTCTTAAATAAAACATCTCATTTATTTTTGAGGAATTCCTCAAAATACCATGATTTTGGTTTTGTTTCCAAAAATACCACTAATACCAAATTATTGTTCAATGGTATGGAGTTTTAAATCTTTGATTGGGGTTGATTATTGTACATTTAGGGTTTAATATTTAGGGGGTAGAGTTAGAGTTTAGAAATTGAAAATTAAAAATTTAATTTTAGTTTTGTGGTATTTTTGCCCTAAAAACAAAAATGATGGTATTTTAGAGAATTACCCTTTATTTTTTGAGCCAATATTATTGTTCTTTATTATATTCAATATTTCTGGTTTTTCTGTTTCAGTTGGTGGCGTTTGATATAGGAAAATGGATCAAGGAGACTCTCAAATGTGTTGCATAAATGACGTGGAGAAATAGAAGAAGATGATTGGAATTAGTATTAGTGACACGTGATGCTCTAAGAGCATCTCCAATGGATGCATTATTGGGTTCTCTTTCAAGGTTCTCTTGAAAAAAATGTTGAAAAATAAATCAAAACTATGAATTATGAAGAGAGACAGCTCTCTTGAGAGAAATATAGAGTAGTATGAGAGACGATGACGTGGCGTATTCTCAGCCGTCGATTTTTTTTGTCAAAAAAAACAAAAAAAGCGTCAAAAAAAAAGAAAGGAAAGAAGCATTTCACGTTTTCATTTCCCGACTGTTTCTCTCTCTTTCTTTGCGAGAGATGGCGATGACAATCGATTGTCTCCGACGATTGAGGTCCAATGCCACGAGTGCCAAACCTAAGGAAGATAGTTTCGCTGATATGATCGATCGGGCACTTGAGAAAGAGTTTCCTGATAATGACCAGAACGAAGGTTCCTCTCTCACTAGATCTTCATTGTTCTGCATTTCTTCAATTTCTTACGTTCCCTGTGGAGCTAGGGTTTTTGTCTTCAGAGATCAGTTTTTCTTTAGGGATTTCAATTTTGTGATAATTGATCCTTCTCTAGGGATTTATCATTGATTAGCTAAGTGGTCTAGACTCTAGACGCTTTGTGCTCACATTTAGTCTATCTAGGTTTATAGATTTCTCAAGGTTAATGGCTTTTACCAATTAATGAATTGTGAACTCTTTCAATATGCGTTTTTTGTGAAATGCTTTTGCAGTTCCTGATCCAGGAAGCTTCAATAATAGTGTTGCTGATTAACAGGTTTGTTGTTGCAAGATTTGATCTTTGTTTGATTGCTCTTACGCAGCACACTACTCAATGTTGTCTTTTCTTTCCATTAAGCTATTTGTTATGCTTATTAGGCTGTTCTAGAGACTGTTGCTCGAGTTAAGCCTAAGAAAAATGAAACCAAGACCAAGGAGGAGAAGTGAGTTTTTTCTGATGCATGCATTGCCCTGTTTGGAGTCGATTTGTGCAAGTAGTGGATGTTATTTAATTTTGTTTCACAGGTTAAAGAAAACTATAACATATGAGTATTTTGTTCTAGATCGTTCTTCAATTTGGATAATGAGAATGGCGTAGAAGATACTCCGAGACTGATAGATAGGAAGGTAAGCTTAAATAGTCTCAAGTCATTTGTGATATATATGTTGAAAAATGTAATCGTTTGTAAAAGCATTCTCGTAATGTGACTTTGCTGCAATTTTAATCCAAGACAACGTTTTTATAATGTCCAGTCCAAAATCCAATGACCCTGTACTGCAGCTAGATTTAAAGTAAGTATAGCATTCGTAAGATAAGTTCTTCGTTCGGTTATATTTTGTTAGTATCTAACTTACTGTTTTTTGTTGGGGGCATCTCTCTTAAAACGGTACATTTGTAGGTTGATATCAGATTTGGTCGTCGTCATTGTTTCTGCTACTTGTGGTGGAATTGCCTTTGCATGTGCTGGTCAACCGGTCCGCACACACTTCCTTTGCAAAGCTTGTAACTTTCAATATTATTTTGTTAGCATTGAGTATCCAGCTTTCCGGCATTGTAGAAACGATTTTTCTAGCTCTTAACTGATCAAACCATGACAGTGTTATTTAATTTCTACACTACTTATATGGCAGGTCATTACTGGGTATCTATTGGCTGGATCTATCATTGGACCGGGCGGGTTAAGCTTTGTTAGTGAAATGGTGCAGGTAGCTTACATCAGCTTTATTATACTTCAAAGTTCATCTTTTGTTGTCTTCATATACGTTTGGAAGTTTTCATGAGTACAAGATTGCCTGGACAACGATTTGATTTATAATTTTTTGTGTAGCACAGGTTGAAACAGTAGCTCAGTTTGGTGTTATCTTTCTCCTTTTTGCTTTAGGATTAGAATTTTCTGCAGCGAAGGTTTTGCATGTTTCCACTCTCTTATATTTGTCTGGTTTCTTTGTTCGAACCGATTGAACCGAATAACTAATCGTTTTTTTTTTTTTTTTTGCAAATTTATTTTCAAATGTTTGAAATTATTGTATGTTTAATATGTTATGAACTAGATTTGAACCCGCGGTACACCGCGGGGCTATAATTTTTTTTTAAAAAATCTAAATATAATTAGTTTTGTTTATTAATAGAGAGTATAATATAATATTTCGACCTATTTTATAAATGTACCATCCATATATCTATATTAATAGTTTTGAGTATATTAATTGTGTTTTAGGTTTAAATGGTATATCTATATATAGTTATATACACTTAAACGACATTTGGCTTTCTTCTTCTTTTTGCCTCAGTTTAAGAGAAAGATTTTTCTTGCGGTACACCGCGGAGCTATTATTTTTAAAAAAAGATTTTTCTTCCTTAAACTTCCAAATCTAGATTTTACCCCGCGGTACACCGCGGGTCGATTTTTTTACAACAAAAAAATTATTTTGCAAAATTTTAAGTTGTATTTGTTTTGTTAATATTATTTATTTTGTTTAGTGTTTCTGATTTTATAATTAAATTTTGATTTTTAATTCTAGGATTTCATCCATCGTATATTGTTTAATATTGTTTAATATTAATATTGATCTAAACCTGTTGCACCATATAACCCCGTCCCGTAAAATTAAACATCATTTGTTATTTTTTTTGAATAATATTTTTATCCACTACTGGTCGCAGGTTCATGCGGATAAGCCCGTAGAAAGTTGCGGATTTGCGGGTCGACCCTCCAAAAGAGAAGCTATTTTTTGAAACCTTTTGTTTTATTTAGAGGTTTTGAGAAAATATCCCTAAAAATAATTTTCATTATATGAAAAAAAAAAAAAAGTAGAAGAAATTGTAATATCAACATTCCCGATTTTTACATCACTCGTTAATATTAATTTTTTTTTTTGCAGATAAAAATCAGAAGTTAACTAAGTCGAGATTTTTAAAAAGATTGTGTAGAAATTTTTGGTAAATTGTTGAGAACATATTTGATTTCAAAATTTTTACTTAAATAGATAAAGAAAGATTTTGTAGAGACTTTTGCTAAATATATGAAAAAATGAATTTCATTTAAAAATCTTTACTTAAATAAAACAAATCTAAATAATTAATGCTAATGGCATGCCATTGTAAATACTTCTCAACTTCAGGATTTATTTGCTAATTGTGATCCAAAAATGTATATATAGATTGTAATATTTTTCAGTTTTATGAAATAAAATAATTAAAAAAATAATTTAATTTTTTCCTGAGAACCCTACAAAGAGAACCTACTATTGGACTTTGCAAAACTAAAAAAATTTAATAAAAGCTCTCATCTCATAAATTTGAAAATTTTATTCTTAAAAAAATGGTGAGAGCCCACCATAGACTCTCACCATTGGAGATGCTCTTAGAAGGGATCGTGAGCTGAAGCTATAAAGGAGAGTGATGATCAATTGTGAAGAACAACCAGAAAAATATCATTTGTGTAAACTTCTTCTTCTTTAGTTCTCTATGAGATTTGTTAGGGTTTGTACTCATCTATGTTTGGGATCTGTTTCTTTTTCTAAGATCCAAGCTAGTGAGATTTGAATTGGTATTTTATGAACATGAATTCAATTTGTGTTTGGTGACTTAGTTTTCCATTGAAATACAGTTTTTCTGTATTAACGTCAGGACATGTCCTGAAAAATCTGGGGCCCAATACAAAACTAAAATTTGAGGCATTTTTGGAGTTTCTTAAAAAATAATTCTTAGCTTTTTTTATAAAAATAACTTGAGTTTTTTATTTCTTAGTATAAAAATATAAATTCTTGACATATATTTGAATCGTGGGCCCCCAATTTCTAATTCTCAGCCCTAAAAAGCTTTACAATTTTTTTAAAATAGGCCCTAAAAAGCTGAAGCAAAAATTGAGGTCCTATACAAATGTTTCTTGGGTATATGCTTAGGGCCGGGTCTGATTAGCGTTCAAAATTCATGCCAAGTTGATTGCGGAAAGAAAAAGATTTTAGGTCTTATTAGCGATGACATCGCTAGTACAATCCTAGATGTATATTTCCAGCGGATGCTCAAGAAAAAAAAAGTCCCTCCACGAATTGCTCTTTCTCTTGGAACTTTAGAACTGTCAACTGTGGAGTGATGAGTTCGCAGGAAAGGGAGACTTTGGCCAATACCGATCAAGGCTTGCATGTTCCCCAGACAAGAAACTAATCAGGGTAGCACATAAGTATTTTGTTGGTGCAGTTAGTGATGTAGCGACATCTATTACTTCTCTTTTAATGGGCTTCCGTTTATGCTTTCAGTCTTAATTTACTTATGGGCTTTCTTTTGGTTTTTGCTACGTCGGTTATTTGGTTGCTTTAGCACCAAGCCTTCGTTAGGGTTTTGACGTTTTTTTCTATAAGTACTCTACTTCTTGTATTCTAGAAGGTTGGTTGTTTTTGATTAATAAAAGAGAAACTTTTCTCATACAAGTCTTGGAATTCTTCTTTCTTTCGATCCATTGATACGCAAGAAAGCTTGAAATCGAAGCTACGGATGAAGACTCTTGATCCATCGATACTTGAGCCCTCTCTTTCGTATTTATCCGCCGCATCAGTTGGTATCAGAGCCAAACGATCTTCACCATGCCTCCAAAGAAGAACTTGGAACAGCAACTAGAAGTGCAGAACGATGCGTTTCGAGGGATGATGACCGAATTTCAACAAAGCCTTAGAGATACGATGTGTGTCTCTGTTGAAACAGCGGTTCGTGCTATCTTTCAAGCACAACAGGGACACGAAGAACAAGCTTTTGAGGAGAATAACGAAGAAGATGATGTCCTTGGTAACAATCTGTTCGCGCGGTTAGGCGAACAACAGCACCGCGAAGCTGCTCCACAACAAGCGATTATCCAAGCGCCACGAGCTCCTCACAATCGATGGGAGTCTGGTTTCAAATTGGAATTACCTGAATTTTCTGGTGGATTGCAGGCTAAAGAGTTTCTTGATTGGTTGAGTACGACAAAAGAGCTGTTGGCGTTCAAAGAAGTACCTGATGCGATGCGAGTACCCTTGGTGGAAACTCGTTTGCGTGGTCGTGCTTCAGCTTGGTGGCAACAAACAAAGGAAACGCGTTTGAAGGCCGGTAAAGAACGCGTCACGTCATGGGAGAAGATGAAGAAACTAATGCGCCGATCGTTTCTTCCATACAACTACACACGCACCATGTATACACGTTTTTAGAATTTGCGACAAGGAACAAAGTCGGTGGATGAGTATGCGTCAGAATTCTTTACCCTCTTAGCTCGAAATCCTTTGACGGAAACAAAAGAACAATTGGTGTCCCGTTTTATTGGTGGTTTACGCCTTCAAATTCAGAACATACTACTCCAATTCTGTCCCCTTACTGTGTCCGAAGCTCATCAGCGAGCTTTATTGATCGAGACACAGCCTCGGAGTCAGTTACCTGCTTGGAATGCGAACCAAACCCGCTCAGCTGAGACAGTGGCTAGCAAACCACCTGACCAAATTCGCCCTCTGGAGGGTACTGAGGGTGTTGCGTCTTCAAGTCAACAACGCTCTACTACATTTAAGTGTTTTAAATGCGGAGAACAGGGCCATCGTCAGTCTTCTTGTCCTCATACGAACAGGCGAGGTCTCTTAACTGGTACTGAAGAACCTGTTTATGATACTTACGAACAAGATGATGAAGAGGCAGATGAGGAATCAGAACAAGTGATGAGTGATACGGGTACGATGTTAATGTTGCGACGCAATCACCTTCTGCCTGGTGGAGTTGAGGAATCTTGGCTTCGAACAAATATTTTTCAGTCTACTTGCTCGATTCGTGGCAAAGTTTGTCGCATGATAATTGATTCCGGGAGTTGTACTAACGCTATTTCTGAAGAAGCCGTTGCTAAGCTTGCTTTGTTTCCAGAATCTCATCCGACTCCGTATCGATTGGCTTGGTTAAACGCGACCACTGACACACGGGTTTCTAGGCGTTGTCGTGTTCCTTTCTCTATCGGTTTGAATTATAAGGACTTAGTTTATTGTGATATTCTGCCAATGGATGCTTGTCACTTACTTTTAGGGAGACCATGGCAATATGATCGTCGAACAATGCATGATGGATTCACTAATACGCATTCCTTTACGTACGAAGGGAAACGTATCACGTTACTACCATCTCAATCGTCTACTGATCCTCTTATCAAGACCGAAGACATTGAGAAGCCTCCTGTTTCTACAATTCTGACGCAACAAGTGCTATTGGTTAATAAGTCATTGATTTTTGAAGAATTTCAACAAGTTGACGTCGCCGTTGTGCTTGTCGTCAAACCTGCTGTTGACGTGATTTTTGCTGCTGCTCCCGATGCTTTTCATGATTTATTGAATGAATTAATTCAAGGACGTTTTTCCAGACGAGTTACCTGATGGTTTACCTCCATTACGAGACATCCAACATTGCATCGACTTAGCACCTAATTCGGTGTTGCCCAATCGACCTCATTATCGCATGAGTCCAACAGAACATGATGAACTTCGTCGTCAAGTCGAAGATCTTCTGTCCAAGGGGTACTTACGAGAGAGCTTAAGTCCTTGTGTCGTACCAGCTTTACTTATTCCCAAGAAAGATGGAACGTGGCGTATGTGTGTGGACAGCAGAGCGATTAATAAGATCACGGTGCGCTATCGTTTTCCGATTCCGCGACTTGATGATCTTCTCGATCAAATTGGGACAGCGTCTATCTTTACAAAGTTGGATTTAAAGAGTGGATATCATCAGATTCGTATCCGTCCTGGCGATGAATGGAAGACGGCCTTTAAAACACGCGAAGGCCTATTTGAATGGCTGGTTATGCCGTTTGGTTTATCCAACGCGCCGAGCACTTTCATGCGCGTTATGAATCAAGCATTGCGCCTGTTCATTGGTAAATTTGTGGTGGTTTATTTTGATGATATTTTAATCTTTAGCTCATCTCTTGCAGAGCATCTCGTTCATTTGCGTAATGTTCTTCTTGT